ATCAGAATTTGCCGTAAAGGTTTCCCCAACAGAACCCTTCACCCTGACTTCGTCCAACGTTACGCTATCCTTGCCGCCAAGGAAGCCAAGTCTAGTAAAGATCCTAAGGTTGCTGCCGGAAACATCTTACAATCTCTTGTCGGAAAGAAGAGACTTGATGAGGAACAATTCAGAATTGGTCACACCAAAGTTTTCTTCAAGGCTGGAGTTGTAGCTCACATGGAAGACTTGCGTGACGAGAAACTCAATGATATTATCACTGGATTCCAGTGTGCCCTCAGAGCTTACACTTCTCTCTGTGACGCAGCTGATCGTAAGCGTCAATTGAACTCTTACATCGTGCTCCAGAGAAATATCCGTTCCTGGTGTATTCTTCGTACCTGGGACTGGTTCTTACTTTTCGGTAAACTCAAACCACAACTCAAGTGTGGAAAGATGGCCGAAGAAATGGGCAAGATGGCTGAACAGCAAAAATCACTTGAAGCTGCCGCAAACAAGCTCGAAGCTGAACGCAAGGCTAAGGAAGAAGCTTACAATAAGTTGAACTCTGATAAATCTAAGCTATTGGAACAACTCGAAATGACCAAGGGAGGTTCAGCCGCAATTGAAGAAAAGCTTACTCGCCTCAACGGAGCCAAGCAAGAACTCGAGAAAGGATTGAACGATATTGGAGATCGTTTATCTGAGCAAGAAGATAGAAATGCTGATCTTGAGAAACAACGCAGAAAGGCTCAACAAGAAGTTGAAAATATGAAGAAGAACATCGAATCTGTTGATTCCAGTTTATTGAAATCTCAGGAAGAGAAGCTAGCCAAGGAAAACCAAATTCGTTCACTCCAAGATGAAATGAACGCCCAAGATGAGTCTGTCGGTAAACTCAACAAGGAGAAGAAACATTTGGAAGAGGTTGCTCGTCAACTTGTTGATGACTTGCAAGCTGAGGAAGCTAAGATGGCTCAAGCTAACCGATTAAAAACTAAGCTTGAACAAACTTTAGATGAAATGGAAGAGTCTGTTGATCGTGAGAAACGTATTCGTTCTGACACGGAGAAGGCCAAGAGAAAGGTAGAATCCGAACTCAAGGCTGCCCAAGAAAACCAGGAAGAAATGACTAAGATCAAACAGGAAGCCGAAGCTTCATTGAAGAAGAAGGAAGCCGATATGCACGCTTTGAGCGTACGCATTGAAGACGAACAAGCCATGGCCAACAGATTGACCAGACAATCAAAAGAAAATGCTGCTCGTATCATCGAAATTGAAGATGAACTCGAGCATGAACGTCAAACTAGAGCTAAAGCTGATCGCGCCCGTGCTGAACTTCAACGTGAACTTGATGATCTCAATGACCGTTTGGATGAACAAAACAATCATATGCAAGTTCAGCTTGAATTAAACAAGAAGAAGGATTCTGAACTCATCAAGAGCCGTCGTGATTTGGAGGAGAAGAATATGAACCACGAAGATCAACTCGCTTCTATTCGCAAGAAGAACAATGACACCATAGCCGATTTGACTAATCAATTGGATGGACTTCAGAAAAACAAAGCCAAAATTGATAAGGAAAAGGGAACTCTCCAGAAGGAATTAGATGATCTCTGTGTCCAAGTCGATCAAGAAACTAAGGCTCGTGTCGAACAGGAACGTCTCGCCAAGCAATATGAAATCCAAGTAGCTGAGCTCCAACACAAAGTTGATGAACAATCTCGTCAAATTGCTGATTACACTAGCTCAAAGGGACGTCTTGCCAACGATAATGGAGATCTCCTTAGACAAGTCGAAGAACTTGAAGTTCAACTTGGAACACTCAACCGTTCTAAGGCTGCTCTTAACAGTCAGTTGACTGAAGCCAAGAAGGCTGCTGAGGACGAAACACACGAACGTCAAGACCTCAACGCCACCTGCAAGAACTTGGAACATGAAATCGACCAATGCCATGAACAACTTGAAGAGGAAATCAATGGCAAGGACGATATTCAAAGACAACTTAGCCGAATCAACTCCGAAATTTCTCAATGGAAGGCCAGATATGAAGGAGAAGGACTTGTTGGAGCTGATGAACTCGAAGACTTGAAGAGAAAGCAAATGGCACGTGTTATGGATCTCCAGGAAGCTCTTTCTGCTGCTCAAAATAAGGTCATTTCTCTTGAGAAGGCTAAAGGCCGTCTTCTTCAAGACACTGAGGACGCTCGATCAGACGTTGACAGACATCTCACTGTTATCGCCTCTCTTGAGAAGAAACAAAGAGCCTTCGATAAGATTGTCGAAGACTGGAAGCGTAAAGTTGACGATATCCAGAAAGAAATTGACGCAACTACCCGCGATTCTCGCAGCACCTCAACTGAAGTCTTCAAACTTCGCTCAGCCATGGACAACCTTACCGAGCACATTGAAACTCTCCGCAGAGAAAACAAAGGATATTCTCAAGAAATCCGTGATCTCACCGAGCAAATCGGACAAGGAGGACGTACATACCACGATGTTCAGAAATGCGTCAAGCGCTTAGAACAAGAGAAAGAAGAACTCCAACACGCTCTTGACGAGGCTGAGGCTGCTCTCGAAGCCGAAGAATCTAAGGTTCTCAGATCTCAAATCGAAGTTCAACAAATTCGGTCTGAGATTGAGAAGCGCATCCAAGAGAAGGAAGAAGAATTTGAAAACACCCGTAAGAACCACCAACGTGCTCTTGAATCCATCCAAGCTTCCTTGGAAACTGAAACCAAGAGCAAGGCTGAACTTCTCCGTGCTAAGAAGAAACTTGAAAGCGACATCAACCAACTTGAAATCGCCCTTGATCATGCCAACAAAGCCAACGTTGATGCTCAGAAGAACCTTAAGAGATTGTTCGATCAAGTGAGTTTTTTTTTCCATCTATTCTTAATAGCTATGTTTTTCAGGTCAAAGAGCTCCAATCTCAAGTTGACGAAGAACAAAGACGACGTGAAGAAATCCGTGAGAACTATCTTTCAGCTGAGAAACGCCTTGCTGTTGCTTTGGCTGAGTCTGATGACTTGTCTAACAGAATCGAAGCCGCTGAGAAGGTTTATCTTTTAAGTTTTTGTTTTCTTATTTCCGAGTTTAGCATAAGAAGCAACTCGAGATTGACCAAGGTGAGCTTAAGTCTCAAAACACGGAACTTGTTGCCAACAACGCTGCCTTATCCGCCATGAAGCGTAAGGTTGAGAATGATGTCCAAATTGCCAGAGTATGATTATTCTGTATTACTTTCCTATCAATTGTGTGTTTCAGAACGAATTGGATGACATCCTCAACGAGTTGAAGGTCTCTGAGGAACGTTCACGTAAGGCTGCCGCCGATGCTGACCGTCTTTCCGAAGAAGTTCGTCAAGAACAAGAACATGCTATGCATGTTGACAGACAACGCAAGGGACTTGAGCTTACTGCTAAAGAATTGCAACAGAAGATCGACGATGCTGAACGCGCCATGGCTCAATGTAAGTATACTTCATAAGCAAAGCTTAGACATAATTTACTGATTCAGTTGGACAGAAGGCCCTCTCTAAGGTTGAAGAACGCATCCGTGTGCTCGATGCCGAGTTCCATTCCGAACAACGCCGTCACCAAGAATCCATCAAGGGTGTTGTCAAGCAAGAGCGTCGCGCCCGTGAACTTCAGTTCCAAGTATGAAGAAATTAAGCATAATCAAGATCCAAAATTCTCTTAATCAAGGTTGAAGAAGATAAGAAGGCCTTCGACCGTCTCCAGGAAATGGTAGAAAAGTTGCAACAGAAGATCCGCGTACAAAAGAGACAAATTGAAGAAGCTGTAAGAATTTTTCATTTTTCCATTTTCTTTTCTTGAACTCAAAAATTAAACTACGTGAGAAATGACGTCAAAGGATTCACGTGAGCAATCGGTTTATTCGTAACAATCCATTGACAGCGAGCGGTTGCTTTCCTCAAACTCGCATTCTTTCTCTCATCTTTTTGTAAGAAGGATGTTGAAGAAGGATTTTTATCACATTATCATCCGATTTTTTCTTTGTGTTAAAATTTCAATGTTACTGACGTTAATTTATGATCATTCATATTCTTTACAGGAAGAAGTAGCAACGCAGAACTTATCTAAGTTCCGACAGATACAATTAGCTCTCGAGAATGCGGAAGAACGTGCCGAAGTAGCTGAGAACAGTCTTGTTCGTATGCGTGGACAGAAGCGAGTATAAACAACAAAAAAACATTTTTATAACAACTAATCATGTTCTCTCTCTTCTCTTTATAATTTAGAGATTCCACACACAATTATACTTTTCATAGATGCATTCTATGAAAAGATAATTTGAGTCAAAGAACAGCACATCGTATGTTATGAACTTTATTGTCTTTTCTTCTTTTCTCTGAGTTATTTTACCTTTTTTTTTTGTTTGTAAAAAAAAACATTTTTCTTTATAACTTTCTTATTGTAAAATGTGAATTAGAGTCTCCTTTGTTCTCTTCTAATAGATGGTAGCTTATCGAATCATCAATAAATGAAAACGTTGAACGGTTTGCTCCACTGCTTGAACGTTTTCAGAAAGAATCAACTTCTCTACGATCTACGATCGATTCTAGCCATATTCTTTTGAGGATTCGTCTTTTCAAGAGATTCTTTGTTTAGCTTTTAATAGAGAAAATAATAAAATACTGTATAAGTCATGTAAATACATCTTTACTTCCCCATTTGTTGAGAAAAAAGCAGACAAAAACTTTTTCACAAAGATTTACAATGGATTTTAGGAAACGAAAAAAAAAGTTCTTCTCTCTCATTCTTTTCCCTGTTTTACCTTGAAATGTCTTATAAAAGAGATGATATCAAGGTAAGAAGAGCAAGAATGCGAGATGGAGAGAGAATAAATGAGGAAAAGCTCAAGAGTAGACTGAGCAGAGGCGGATAATGAGGAGGTGGAAAAAAAAGAGAAAAGAAGTGAGAAGAAGAAGCTGCATACGCATGACAGCCGTCTCTTACAGATTCTCAAAAACGAAGTACGTTTCAGGAGAGAAATTTACATAAAGAACAGCTGAATGATTGAAACTTTCTTTATATTTTTTTGTGAATTCTTCACGACATTTTGTTAATCAACAAGTCGTTTACACAAGAATTTATGTTTTTTTTCTTACAAAAATTCCTGAGGATAAGATAGAGAATAAAAATGAAAATCAACAAGAACAGTTGGTAGATGGAGCATGGAAAATTCATTAATTATCTCCAAATACCTTGGATTGATGACTATTTTGGTAGGAGATACGAATGAATCTAGTTCCTTTAAACATTTGATTTTTGTATGTGTAATGCTATCTATCATTAACAAAAACTTGCCATGTCAAGAGCTGTTTCATCTCTCAAACTTGCATTTATCAACTTCCTCTTCAAAGTCTCTTTCATTCATTTGGTTATGTACCGTAGATGGTATTGAGCAATTCGAGATTATACGAAAAATACGAATTCTTATGATAGTTTCGTACTTTTGACAGGTGTTCTATCACCGTCTTAACAAAACTTTTTTTCACGTAAGCTGCCAATAGAAAACATCCCTTCTTCTTCTTGCTTCATTTACCCTCTCTATCGAAATCTCTGCTCCTCTTTCTTTCTCTCTCCTCTCATTCATTTATCTCTTAGTTTTCTTCTGAGAGATCTTTAAAAGAAATGAAAAAAACTCCTCAATGTTTTCAACACATCTACATCCATCTATTGAACAGAAAACTGTTTCAATAGAAACTAGGAATATGGATGTGAAAATACAACATTGATGTTATCAGAGAGATATCATCAGCAAACTATAAATCGAATAAAAAATATTGGCCTATGAAACTCTGATATTCATAACAAGCTGAACTGTTGCAATCCGAACATTCCAGAAGATCTGCAAAAAAAAAGAAACAAGTTGAAAGTATTTTTTATTAACTGGCACTAGCTTTGATCCCTCAACGATAAGATCATCTTCGCTTTCAATGAGATAAACGCATGTGGCAAAAGTTGTTGTAGAAGAGAAGATGAGGGAAAGAAATGTAGCACAAACGTTTGAAAGACAAAATGGTTTGCTCGATAGAGAGAAAGAAAATGGATGTGAAAAAAAGAGAAATATATTGGAGAAAATACTGAAGAATATCGCAGACGACAGAATGAAAAGAAACAGAAGACACAGTTGTTTTGTTGCTCAGCATAAGATAAGCTTGATGTAGCTTACAACAGAGCAAGACATTTGAATGAAGGAAGATATGGTGGCTGAAAAAGAAGTCCAAGAAAACGAGGGATGAGAGGCGAGAATGAGTTTATAATTGAAAGATTGAGAGAGAGCTAGAGAGAGAGTGAGGAAGAAACAAGGGAGAGAGATGGAAGACTCATAGAGAAAACGGCAATGCAAAAGTTCCGTAGGTATCTACTATCTACTAGTTAATGGAGGTCAAAGTTTTAAGCAACATAAGCGAGCCACGTGAGGGACCCACGTGTTGATCTAACCGGATAAGTCTTTATGCAAATGTGGGCGGTCTCCACTCAAAACGAATTTTACAGTTGAGGATTAATATCATTCCATTTTGTTAATTGTTTTCTAAGAACTCCAAAACTAACTTCAGTAGTGAGGATAATGTTTATTCATTAACTTCTTTTGAAATGTTCTCAATGTTTAAGGTGAGCAAGGGCAACAGAGCTGTACTGTGTTTACAGTTTTGTGGAAAAAACGATGCAAAAATTTTTTTTTCGAATTTCTTTCTCTCTCTTGTTTCTCTCTCAGCTTCTAACAGTAATTGTCATTGAGCTCAACTCAATTTCTTGGAATCTTAGACATCTAGACATTACAGTAGATGCACGAGACGAAGAGGAGGAGGAGGGAACTCGAACAGGAGGTGTGGCATCGCCTGAGGCTTTCCTGCCATTGCACGGGCAGACTCTCCACGAAGAAGCCGCATTTCTAAGATGGATCACGAGAAGGATCCCGGATGGCAGTTCTTGCGCCGTACTCGCGAGCAAATGCTCGAGGTATGCTCTTATATAGATTATTACTGTTTATGATTTTTTAAAATTTGTTTCCAACTTTGGTTCTTTTGTCTTGATCACTCATTTTTTCATTTTTTAAGGATCAAAGCAAGCCTTATGATTCCAAGAAGAATTGTTGGATCCCAGAACCCGAAGAGGGTTACGTTGCTGGTGAGATCACAGCCACTAAAGGAGATCAAGTCACCGTCGTCACCGCCCGTGGAAATGAAGTGAGTTAGCAACTTATCCTTTCTAGACACTACTCATAGAAATTATTTGTACTTTTTTACATTTTTTTTCATTTTTTAAAATGAGATGTTCACATAATTTACATCATTAAATTACATTACATTACCCTGTTTTGGATTGAAGCTTAGATTATTAGTAGTTACCCTAGTTCTGAAAACGGTTTAGTTCTCAGGTGTGTGAATACGTGAGATGAGATAGGTCATTTTGATTGAATGTTTGGTTATGTTCAGAATATTACTTTTTGTATAATTTCTACATGACTGTTCAATTTTGCTCATCAAAATCTTGGAAGCTTTTATCCTTGCCTCCTTTTCTCTATTACTGGCAGCTGTGAGTTTCGTTTACGACCACAGTCAAAAGGGAGGTGAGACTAGATGCAAAGTAAAAGTGATAGATAATAGAGAGAGGAAGATAAAAAGAAGAACACAGATGAAGAGAAAAGAGAATGTGAGTCTGAGATATGTGTAATAGTTGTCGATGCCGTAGGCGAATACCACAGAAAAACTAATGGTTTGAATTTCGCTTTAAGCTTTCAAGTTTCAAATAAAAGACGGAATAACGAGTGAACAAAACAATGATAAGGTAGATGTATGCAAATTTTGAATGGGAGATTAACTAATATGAAATGTTTATGGGAAGAAGTAACTTATTTTAATTTCCTTTCAGGTCACCCTCAAGAAGGAGTTGGTTCAAGAAATGAACCCTCCTAAATTTGAGAAGACTGAAGACATGTCCAACTTGTCTATGCTTAACGACGCTTCTGTACTTCACAATTTACGTGCCCGTTATGCTGCTATGCTTATCTACGTAAGTTTTTGTTTTCCTCAACATTTGCGTTATCGAAAATAACAAACTGTTTTGATTTTAATACTACTGAAATCAAATTAGTTCCCTCTTGAAGCCAGCTTTAGTTTCTGCGAGTGATTGTTTTAAAATTCATTCAGTACCGGCTATTACAATTTGTTCATCGTGTGTCAAGCAGAATAGAGGAATCTCTAACATCTGCCACAGTATTATTTCTTACTTGCTCTCTCTGCTTTTCTCTCCCTCTCCTTCTCTCATTTTTTTTTCTGTCTCTCTCGCAGTTCTGCCATCTCATATTTTAATTTCTCTCACTAGTAGAGAACATTTGTTCCTGAATAGTGTAGATATGAGAGAGAAGATAAAAAAAGACATGCCACAGAGAGATCGAGAAAGAGAGAAAAGATAAGAGAAGAAGAGACATACACAAGCTGAAGAAAATGATTAAGAGGGATTTTAGTAACGAGAAATAGAGGTAATAAGAGAGATAAAGTGTGTAAAACTCAGAAAATATGTTAGAGAAAGTATAAAAGAGTAGCACTGAGAAGAAGACGAAGTGTACGGCTGGCATTTTCTGTTTTCCCTAAGACACACAAGATGCTTTAACAGCCGCGGTAACAGAGATGGTTATAAAGAAAGATATCTGGTCTTATATACATTTCTCCAACAAAATATCAGAGAAAAATACTGGCTTCAAAGAGGGGATTGTTGAATAATTAGATTTATTCGGATGGCGAATTTTTATGTTTCAGACATATTCGGGTCTTTTCTGCGTCGTAATCAATCCATACAAACGTCTTCCAATTTACACCGACTCTGTTGCCCGTATGTTCATGG